TTGCTAAGGTCTTCAAGCAGAAATCATCTGTGGACACTTATCCAACAGTAGAAGCATTGATATCCAACAGAATAAACTTTGTGAATGTCGATCGTAATGAAGTATTTCGGACATTAAGTACTCTCTATGTGCGAAAATCAACGGGACCGGATGAGCTGCAACCAAGGCTGCTCAGAGAGCTTGCACTCTATGTAGCTGGCCTATTGACTACTATGTTCAGACTGTCTCTCAAAGAAATCACACTCCCCTATGACTCGAAGGATGCCATAGTAACACCTACCACAAGGCAGGGTTCTACGCAGCTTCCATCAAATTACAGACCAATAAGTTTGACTAGTACTGTAGTGAAAATCCTAGAAAAAGTAATCACGAAAGTCATCATAGTCCACCTAGAGAGCAACACTCTAATGTCTCGTTCACAGCATGGTTTTTGTAGAAATTTCTCTTGCTTGACGAACCTTCTTACAGCCAGAGAAACTTGGGTTAAGTCTAAAAATGACAGGATACCTGTAGATGTCATTTTCATTGACTTTAGTAAGGCGTTCGACAAAGTACCTCATTCCAGGTTGCTCGGAAAACTGAAAAGTTTCAGAATCACTGGTAGTCTGTTGGTAGGAGAAAATCAATCAATATCAACATAGGATCAGGTATTACTGCCTAACGGTCCGAGTTGCCACAGCTCATAACAGTACATCAAGTAAAAAGGTAGTGAAATGAAGGATAAAGATAAGAGAATGCAGTCAAAAGAAATATAAAGTACGAGAAGAGAGAAAAGAGGAATGACAAAATGGTGAGATTCGGTATAGCGTTAAGACAAGGATAGTGTGTGTATACATCTGCGCCACTGACATCGGTTCTGAGCCATATCCCCTAGAGTCTCCAGGCACTGGTTCCTCCTGTCCCGCGGACCCCAACCACCTTGTCTGCATCACCCTACATGGCTCAAACCAACAGTCAAAGACTTCATACATTGGTGCCATGTTTTGGTCTGGCCACCTCGGGCCTTTTCCCAACCTGGACCTACTTCAGCCAAGATTGTGTGACGAGGCAATCGGCGACTAGGCATACGCAACACATGTCCCGACCATCTGAGTCGATGAAGGTTCACAACCATGTCAACTGACATACCTTTACTCCCTAAAACTCTATACCTGACTTCTGCATTACTCACGTGGTGACACCACAGAATACGACCTATACTACGAAGGCAACGGTGGTCAGACACTTGAAGCCCTCTCATATCTTCCGCTTTCAATGGCCACGTTTCACAGCCGTACAGTGGAACAGAGCGGACTGCTGTGCAGCACACGCGACCCTCAGTAGACAAACGTATATCACAGCGATGCCATAGGTGGAGTAAATTGGCAAAAGCCAATCGAGCCTTTTGTATCCGTACAGAGATTTCACCGGCAACTAACCCACCAGGGTTGATCCTACTTCCCACTTCACTCCCTATTGTTAGCCGAGGCACCGTTGAAGACCAATCCTGGAGCAACAATTTGCATTTGGGTGGTGAGAACCGCATCCCAAACATCTTCAAATTCCCACTCAAAGTGTTCAGAAGACTCTGCATCTTGTCAGCGTCTTCACTTAACAGGACTATGTCATCTGCATATTCTAGGTCTAACGAAAATCCTCCTGTGATTGGGTCAACGTCTGTGTAATTAGGTGACGAGAGGGAAACCTCCATAAGAATATCTATGATGAAACTGAATAGGAATGGAGACAGTGGGCATCTTTGACGGACACCACTCGATGAGCATAGCTCCCTGGAAATCTCACCATAGGCTCTAACACGCTCACAAGTGTTCGAGTAGAGAGCTTTCAATAGGCTGATGTACTTACTCGGCACGCCTTTCAGTGATAGACATTGCCATGAGACTTCTCGATCAACGGAGTCAAATGCACGTCTGTAAGCGTGCCTATGTTCCAGGACCTGGTGCAGTGTGAATATTTGGTCGATATACCCGCGGCCAGGTCTATAACCTGCTTGGTTTTCTCGGACTTGCTGTTCCCGAGCTCCACTCAGGCGTCGGAGAATTACAGAACCTAGGGCCTTGGGCACTATGTTCGTCAGGCTGATTCCTCTGTGGTTATCACAAGAGGACTTCTCACCTTTCTTGAAGACTGGGATAATGAGTGACTTAGACCAGTCGGAGGGGATCGTATTTGATTCCTATATACTAGCTAACACTTCCGTTAACCTGACTAAGAGCACTGCACCACCATTCTTGTATACCTCAGCAGGTAGTCCGTCTGGTCTGAAATCGGTGCTGGCTAAAAATAGGTGGTTATCTGAGCACACTTGTAGTAGGCGATCACCGTTATCTGGTCATCCAGCCGAAATTCTGACAGTGACACCTAAGTGCCTTTCTGCCTCACTCAGCCTACCCACCTGTGCGTTGAAGTCACCTGCAATAACCACCACGTCCGAACGGTTGGTTTTCAAAAGGAGGCTAGACCGTTTACGGTAGAACTCGTCCTTCACTTCATCCGAACTAAAGTCAGTGGGTGGGTAAGCAGAGATTACAAAGAGGCAGCAGCGAGTCTCACTGTTCCTTTTAGTTCTCACCGTGCCGTTCAGCCTCATAGCGCAGAGGCGACTATCAACTGGGATCCAGTCTAGTGGTGAGCTTTCTGCCCTAGTGCTTAATGCTATGCCTACACCTGCAAGACCGCAAGAGCTAGTCATCGAATCTCCAGAAACTCGAAGAGTGAATTTTACGGGTCCACCAGATTGGTCGGGAGAGGTTAGGTGAATAACCGCACTTGGGTCCTGTATGCATGTCTCACAAAACACAGCATACATCCATGGCCCCAGTTGCTAGTCTTTTCTAACGAAGCCTGTTGACCAATTTGACGGAGTGTGTGGACATTGAAGGCTCCAATATGTAATTTGGAGCGTGGTTTAATGAGACCAGGGATGCTGTTCTGTGGACTCAGATCGTTGTCGAAGACTGCAGAGCTAAGAGAAATTGAAGATGATGTAGTGTCGTTAGTTGAGAGATGTGAAGGAAGATTAGAAGGTAATGATGAGTGAGGTGGATAGCAGTCTGAGGAAACTTGAGTGCTGATAGAGTTGTGAGGGCGGTTGACACTTCCCGGCTGCCTACACTGTGGAAGGCTATTTCTTCTTAAGGTACCTAAGAGAGATTTGTGTGACCGCAGAGCCCAATGGACATCTGCTTGAGGCCTGTCACGCAGCCCTTTGCGTATGATTATTTTGAACTTTTGTATTTTCGGGGCTGGATGGTCGAAAGGAAACAACAAATGAACCAACACCGCCGGCCCGGCAGACCGTGGGGGATGGTGGAGTGTGTTATTTTCGGGGCCGGCCTCTTCCAACCCCCCACCCCTTCCACTAAGAAGGCAGCATCAGCATGCCACTGCTGGTCATCCAAGGGAAACGCCTTACTGCTGTTACACCCATCGAGCTAGCAGCAGTACGACTTCGTCCTCAGACCCCCATCAAAGTGTAGCAATTTACCCCACAACGGTAACTGCTTTTCGTCTAACCACAATCCAACAGACCTTTCTGGTATGGTAGGACCTCGAGGGAACAAGCGCTCCACCAGCTTAGCTCGTCGGGTCATTGTGATATGCTAGCCCGACCACCACGTGAAGGTAGCGGCTATCGGTGGGGTGGCAGCCCAGGGTTAGAACACTGGTCTGCCAACAGTCCAGTGCCACATAATAGGAAAGTGCAATATTTATGATAAGTCCCAATCATACGGAGGCAAATACTGGGTGCAAAGTCAAAGAAGTCAGTCAAACAACTAAATAACCCTACACCGGCTAGGGTCAACGGCACACCATCCATAACGAGGGTAAGACTACTCAAATAAATGTCAGTACTATCAAATAGAGTGATCCGGAGGGATTTTCAGACCATTTTTCTTTCACACACACTATTTGAAGAGGGTCACCACACCGCAGGCTGCTCGGGAAACCGGGAAGTTTTGAAATCATTAGCGGTCTGTTTGCATGGATAAGAGTTCCCTGCCAGTAGAAGACAAAGAGTTGGGATCAATTCTCAACTCTGCACTTGGAATTCGGTAGAGTGGAGTGCTGCAAAGCACAGTCCTGGGTTCCCCGCTGTTACTCTTATACGTAAATGAGCTATCAAATATCAGTAAATCTCCATGGTTCTCTGCACTTGTGATGTAAAAATCTGGCGGGAAAATAGGAACAATGTGGACGTACGTGCGATTCAGGCAGACCTAAACAACTTCTCTAGCCAGGTAGCTTAGAGAAGTGGCTGGTGCCTAGTAATGCAGGTAAGTGCGTGAGCATTACTTGGGGCACACACAGCAACACCTACGATGTTGGGGGGGACTCCACTAACGTCAGTACTGACCCACAATGACCTAGGAGTCACAGTGAGTTATGACTTGAAAACCACGGCTAGCTGTCGACTGGTAGCAGCTCGGAATTTCAGGACTCTCTGGACATCAATCACAACGTTTATGAAAATAAGTGGTGACATATTTGCCAGCTTATACACATCCCTAGTTGGGTTTAAATTTAAGAGCTGTACACAGGCGGCAAATCCTCGTCTGAATGGTGACGCAGACCTTCTAGAGGGCAGCCACTCATATGATCTCTGCAATGGCTGGCCTCGCCTATGAAAACCGACTCAAGGAGCTGAGCCTCTTCACTCTGTCCTTTCGCAGACAGACGGTAGGCCTAATCATTCTATTCGGGATTCTAAGAAATGACTTCGGACCTTATCCATTTACCATTTTCCTTCCCACTATGTCAGGACACCTCAGAGGACATAGTAGGAGAATACAAAAGAAAAGAACGAACATAGTCTCCGCAGAGTACTGATTCTCACGTCGAGTAAACAACGCCTGGAACTGACTCCCAGAAGAAGTGGTGTCCGCATCATCAATTGACTCGTCCTAAAGGGGATCGGACAAGCACAGAAATCTACTGGAGACGGATTAATATAGGCTCCTAGCATCCCATTCTCAAACGAGAAATTTGAAACGCCTTACCTCACGAGTGACCTTTGGTTACCTAATCCTCAAAAGTAGCGCGTTCAATATCCAGTGTCTGCTTACCGAGCCTATGTAAACCAATTAATTTCTTCGTGCTAGCTTCTTGGTCTTTCGAAACGGTTCCAGGTCCTTGGTGGATTTTGGTGGAGTAGATCCAGCGACTCGTGTGCTGCAGTTCTTGTATACAGAACAGGAGGAGGTTGGGGTTTGTCAAATTTTGATTAGTTTGTTATATTTACTGTGTTGAGGTTCTAACTCTTTGAACAAACCTTTTTCTGCCCTTTATACAGTCTGATGACAGCTTCAAAGGATGTCTGCGTAGTTTGTAGCAGAAATGTCAGCTTCTCAGCTAAGTCGATGGGTTGTGAACTTTGCTCTCAATGGACTCACTGCTCCTGTGATTCCAGCCAGCCATCTGATTATTATGAAGCACTGCTTAATAGCCCTTTTGATGGTGATTGGTATTTTTGTCTATGTTGTAGGTCCGAAAGTAAGTACCAAACAAGCCGAGAGATAGTGAGACAGAACTCTGACCACCTTACAGTTGAGATCACTACACAAACCAACCTCAGTCCAAAGAAGTCTCATGGCCATAAAAAGATACCCCAAGTTAGCAGTAAGGGAAGTAGCGAATTCATCACTGTCACCGACTGTCTCCCCGTTAGCACGCCTTTGGAACAGATCCTCTCAGTGATGAACGAGAGTCTCACGCCCGATGCGCGCCGAAATGTCTGAAGAAATGAAGACAGGTCAGTTCAGTTAAATATGGAACATTAAGTAACGATCGTAAGTCTGACAGAGTAATGACTAATCAGCCTAGTGCTGCAGAGGTTCATGTTTAGCCGGAGTTTTATATCACCCTCCTGCAGCTGACGCCACGTCAAATAAGATGTTAATACAGTCCATTAGAGGAGCCCTCGAACTGAACTTCCCACAGGTCCTCATTATGGGAGATTTTAACTTTCCTCAACTCTTTACCACAGAAATCCATCTGCTGCTCCCAAAGACCTTCGGGAGTTGTTACTGGAAAACTCCTTGACGGAACATGTTCCCCAGTGTACCCGCTGGGGGCCTAACGGTAAGGCACCCCGACCAGATTATATTTTCACAAATCACTTCATTGGGGTAAGCAACTTGAATGTTTTCAGCCCTCTTGGTCTACATGACCATGCAGTTATCGCCTTCAATATTTCTGTATCTAAGCCACCCGTTCCCGATCAGCCCCTAGTTAGGAATCACAAGAGGACTGATTTCGGGAAGGTTCGCTAGGTCTACCAGGTTCCGCTTGCTTAAACTGCGATGACCTACTGCATCTTGATGCTAGATGGGGTCTGTTGAAGAACATAATCCTACAAACGATTGAAGACAACACTCCTCTAATCCCAAGAAGAACTAACAAGTTCTACTCCTTCTGGCTCAAGTCAAACAAGCGCAAACCAATACGGCGCGAACGGTCCCCTAGGAATCTACGGAGGTGCACTAATAGCCCTTTTGACTGGCTAAATTATAAAGACATCCGTAACAAATGTTCAGTAAGGATCAGAAATGACAGAAGAAACCACCAGACACAACTTCGTAGAACCATGGAGGGAATCATGGGATACTGTACTCGTTGCTGAAACAGAAGAGTAACGGTCAACCAAGTTTACAGGACCCCGTTAGTTTGAAGATCCTCTATTCCAACTACGAAGTTGCAAACCTACTAGCTCATGAGCTCCAAAACAACTGTCATTTGGGACACAAAACCCCGCCTCTGTCTGACACTTGTATCACAGAGGGGCTAAATCATGTAGAGTGTGAACCCTTCGTAATTACGGAAATATTAAAGAAACTGAACCCGAATAGGTCTCCAGGAATCGATGGGATTCACCTAAGAGCACTCAGGTAGTGTGGCGAAGTTCTGTGTGCTCCACTAGCAAACTTCTTCAAATGCTCGTTTCTGGAAGGCAGGTTACCCTCTGATTGGAAACGGGTGGCTGCCGTCCCAATTCATAAAAGTGGAAACAAACTACTCGCCTTCAACTACAGACCAATCTCCCTGATCTCTTCATTTGCAAAGGTCATGGAGAGAGTCATAAATGACTCGCTAAGTGATCACTTACTTCAGGAACCAATCCTAAAAGACTGTCAGCATAGCTTGGAATAGCTGGACACCCTCTGTCGAGCAGAAAAAGCCTATACCCATTGGTTTACTTGACTTTTCTAAGGCTTTTCACAGGGCAAAGCATGATATCTTTTATAAGAAACTCCAGCTCGTGGGTGTGCATGGAAAATTATTAATCTGGCTTAGAGATTATCTGCACGCCAGAGTGCAGTCAGTTAGAGTCGGCTCCTCTGTATCTGATTGGTTCCCGATGCTGAGTGGTGTGCCTCAAGGTTCCATACTGGGCCCACTACTGCTTCTTGCTTTTACCAATGACCTACCAGAGGTCCTTAATTCAGATTCACTATTATATGCCGATGATCTGAAGGAAAATACAGGAACTAACGGATATTTCGATCTTCCAGGAGGGCCTTACGAAAATCCTTAGTTGGACTACAGAAAACCTGCTTCCTCTCAACTCGAAGAAGTATCGAATTATGATAGTTGACAAACATAAACGCAGTGCCAGTTCTTACTGTCTAAGTGAAATAAATATCTGTCACTCTAACATGGAACAAGATCTGGGAGTTACACTAAATGATACACTAGGAGCCTCTGTTCACTGTCGCCTTGCACCCGATAGGGCTTATGGAATCCTGAGGTTTCTCTTGCGAACCTTAGGGTGTCTAACTCCTCTTTTCACCACAGTGTAAGCTCTGTACACTTGTCCTCATTTAGAAAAAAATTCGCTCGTAACGTCCCCACACCTGAAAAAAGACATTGCCATCCTAGGACGGGTACAGAGAAGAGCTACAAAGAAAGTGACTGGGCTACGGCACAAACCGCACCCAGACCGCCTAGCTGCTCTTCAGCTGCACCCAGCACAACACCAGGGGATCAGAGGGGATATGATTATGATGTACCACATCGCTCATAATCCTCTCCATCCCAACAGGTCCCTTCTGAGCTTTAGTCGGAAACGCGACTTGAGGGGTCACCCTTTGAGAATAGAGTATGAGAGAGCACGTACAAAGATCCGTGCTAACTCATTTGCAGTCAGGGTCTGTAAACCGTGGAATTCTCTGCCTTCAGCAGTTGTTACAGCCACATCCCTTGATACCTTTAGAAGGAGGCTAGACGCATGCCTCAAATCCTACGGCACCGATGGGCCATACTCGAGAAGCTTTCCTCAGATCAGGTGCAGTAATACTAACTTGAGACCAGATTAATTAATTAATCGTACCTCTATCCTTTCAGGTTTTTCAGAACCGGGAAGATAATTGTGACCATTCCAAACACAGAACGTATCCCAACAAGACAGACGTAGAACCTAAGGAACAGCAGTTCACTAATTCTACAACACGAAGTTTGGAGTTTGAGTGTTGGTTAGTTTGCTTGGGACTGTGAAGCAGCTGGGTTCTTCAGATATTGAGTTGCCAGACAGTTGTTCGAACTAGTCGTTAGGGAAAGTTAGGGATAGTGAAGGCGAATGTTTGTGAGTAAAAGGCAAGCAAAATCAAAGTAATGGAGTAATCTACTTACACCCAGATAAGGCGATGGTGGTGCAAAGATACAAAGAAATTAGGTAGGTGTAGCTGGTCCACAGTAAGTAAAGGGGATGAAAAAAGGTTAAATAACTACAGTAGAAAGAAAACTGGTGTAGAGGTAACACAGTTAAAATGGTGTGACAGCAGTAGATTTTTCGGCTTAGTTAGTATTCAAATTACTCATGGACAGATCACATGTCTCTGCTTGATTGTCCAGTATTTTCATTAAACTTTTAACGGATGGGGTGGAGACTACCTCTGTCACTAATCCAATCTGGTGCTCACAGGCTTAAAGGGAGAAGAGTTGTGGACGCATGAGAGTTTCTGGCCTTTGATTGAAAATTCTCTCAGGGTTTCCACGAGGATCGCCACAGTGGTAGTATTCTTCTCTTTGGGTGGCTCGGGTTATCCAGTATTTTGTAAGCCGTTATCAGGTCACCTCGTAAAATTTCGTAGCCAAGAGAGTATAGGCCTAGGTATTTCAGTCCATCTTCATATGGTTTTTGTTGTATCTCAACAACTCTTGTGACTCGCTTCTGAACGTTTTCCAGTAGGTCCGTGCCTACTTTCAGTTGCGGTGGAACGAAGATGCCATCATCTTTTAAGTGGGGTCGTATGTAGGTCTTGTACAGTTTCGAAAGGAGCTCTAGGGTGAGGGCACCTAGTTGTCTGCGCACAAAGGGCCCTACATCGTGTGCTTTTGGGGTATCACCTGGGCAATTCAGGAACAAATTATTGTTATCATTTGGAACTGGTGTCCAGTTTTTCAGTCACCATTAAACCCAGGTCATTTCTTGCCGCGGCATGGGATGGATTTCAACCACAGAGAGAGTAGGATACTTTGTGCCTATCAACAGTAAAGAAAAACGTGGACAGGCATTGATCCGGGTCAAATGTCAATTCTTTATTTGTCGTCCATTCCTCTAGTGTTCTGAGGTCATTCTGTAGTGCACCTGATTCCGTTTCGCAAGTCACTGCTCTCCATATCTTGATGTCGTCAGCGTATGGGAGAATCGGCTAGCCGATACGTAGCGAGAGGTAGTTCATGAACGGTAGAAACAACAATGGACCTGGGGTTGCTCCCTGTGAGATACCGGAAGATGATGTTTTCCGAGTTGAGTAGACCGTACTGAGTCTCGCGCAGAACCCCCTATTGTCTAAGTGGTTCCGCAGCCGCGATGGTACTTGGCCGCAGATACTTAACCCAGCCATTTTGCACGTTGACATGGCGTGCGAGATGGTATCAAAGGCTTTGACGAAATCTAGAAAAACTGCTTGGACCGGAACCTTGGGATCCCAGCATGCTGTTCAGTGATTATGGGCGGTGAGGAGGTCGGAGGCACAGGACCTACCTTTTCGGGATCCATGGTGAGCATCTCAGAGTGTTGCTTTGTG